TCGTGTTTCATGGCAGAGCCAGATCTTCTCATGGAATCTCTATCTAGTAATGGTGTTGAAACGTTGGAATTTGGCTGTTCAGACAATAAACCCAAATTATCATCACTCATCAATGTACTCATAAAGTCTTGATCATCCAGTCCCATCATGTCGTCATACATAAGGCCAAAATCTTCGCTTGAACCAAAAGCCATGATATTATCATCATTCATATCGAGATTGAAATCTGATGAAGATGTTTTAACATCAACGGTTAAATTGTTTTCTGATGATTGATCCTTCTTATCACTCTCTTCGGCTGAACTTGATGTTTTAGATTGAGCTCTCTCACTTGTTGTTTGCTTTTTAAATTCTTCCATTCTCCTCGAACCAACAATACCTCTAATTTTCGATCTTAGAGATGATTGCTTCTTGACAATATTATTTCCAAATTGAGCATGGCATGATTGTTTCTTCTTGGAATTTTCAACCATCTTGGCAATAGGACGTAAATAAATAATTTCAGAATTTTGATCCTTGCCTTGACTAAAGTATGGATCCTTATCATTAAGTAAAACAGCATAAATTGAAGGTAATTTGACTGTTGGTGGTTCAGATTCAAGGGCTGGTATTTTAGGGGAAGATGTTGGATTGGATGAAGAGGTAGTTGGAATTGGATTATGTTGTTGGGAGGAAGAGTTTGTTGAATTATCATTATTCGACGTCGTGGGAATATCTAGCTTTCTATTGGAAGATGGAATTGTTGATGAACTGCTTGAAGGAGGCTGCATACTCGTAAAACCAACATTAGTTTTAAGTGAAGAGGTAAGATGCGGACTTTGTTTGGTTGGTGATGCTGATGAAGGATTCATCAGCATGTTATTATTAGCTCGATGCTGTACTCACAGACATGTTATTTCTTTGCGACAGAAACTGTTTGTTTGCTTCTTTAGGGGAGGATGGTACAATCCCAGCAGATTGTTTTCTTGTGGCGGAGGAAGAGTTTGTTGAAGAATAATTTTCACCCAAGGTATTTTCAAGTTGAACTCCTTGGTTATTATTAACAACAATAGAATTTAAATAATTATTGTTTAGAGTTGGTGTTAATGATGAAGAAGATGTTTTCAACAACAACTTGTTACCAACTGTAGTCGCAATACTATTCTTTTCTTCTTCACCTACTAGATAATTTAAAGACGATGATGGTTTGTTATTACCAGCAGAGATGTTAGTCGTCGTCGTAGTTGTGTTGGTGGTATTGCTGTTGTGACTCTTATCGGGAGAGACAACAACTTTTCGACCGATGATATTAGTTGATGATGATGTCTTTGAAGAACCTTGTACAAGTAGTTGCTGGTTACCCGGCAGCACAACTAGTGGAGTATTGTTGTTGGGAGAGACGACAATTTGTTTGTTTTGGAAATTTGTTGTTCCTTCTGATAATTTTTTAGACTTGTTTTGTTGTTGCACAAGAGAAGGCGCGTTGTTCGTTATTATGGTCTTGCTCTGATTGTTTCCTTGTTCGTCTCTCTTGGATTGGTGAGGTTCGTGCTCAAATTCTCCAAATGGTGAATTACATAGAGTTGCATTTGTAATCTTATTGTGGTGGTGGAGTTGTTGTTGACTGCTGCCTTGTAATATTGGGGTACTTGTTTGGGAAGAAAACAAACTTTGATATGGTTGTGATTGATTTTGTGTAATGAAATTAACTGGATAGGATGTGTTATTGTTTGTCATTATATTGTTATTATTCGCAGTAGTTAAAATTGAGGTGGTCGAAGAGGAGGATGAATCCTGTTGGTGACTATTCATGGATTGCATACTATTGTGTAAATCTGTTGAGAAAGATGAAGTGCTCGCATTATTTTTCTTAACACTATTCATACTCGAATTGTTACCTTCTTCTTCTTGTCTATTCATTACAAAATCAAGAGTTGGTTGTTTACCTGTAACAGTAGATGTTCTATAAAGAGTGGTAGCCAATTCTTGTGGTGATTGTCTTTGAATGGATGGCGAATTGAATGTATTTCGTAGTGACTTATTTTGTTCTATTTGCTTTTGGTATTGTTGAAAGTAGTAGCCAGTCGAAAGAATTGGTGGTGTTCCTTTCACATTATTAATTTGTTGATTCAAATTGAATGCATTGTTTTGGAGAATGCTGGTGGGAAAGAATGGACTTGATGAAGTTGAGCTGGCAGTGGAGCTGGTGCTGCCTCTTCTTCCTGAAGCTCCAAGAAAGTGGGATGCATTTGGATTATTGAACATTTTTCAAAAACGACTGAAATGCAAGAGGAACCGTTATCTTGAGCTATCTTCTAAAACAGATAGATCAATCACAAAGCAGTGACAAGTGTTGTCTATTTTGTTGGATACTTCCAAAAGTTGAATTCAATATCTGTTGAATGGTATTGGATTCTTTGTCTTTCTTAAGAGCCAGTCAAAACAGAAGGTTGAGGATCTGATTCTTGATTCTTTTTGTAAAGAGAATCTTAATAACAACGAAGAGAATCCTCTTTAGCAATAGAAAAAAATTATGCAACAATCTTCCTACCACAAACAATACTGTTGCAATTTAGCGGATCCAAACTGATGGCTAAGCTTTGATCAAAGTAATATTGGTAGCAGTCAAATGCTTGCTACAATTATAATTGGAAGATTATCAACCAACTAGAATTTAATGACTGGAAAGTCTACAATACCAGCCTCTAATTTGGTTACTTTAAAAAACCTTCCGATTTTATGTTAGAATATATTCCAATACTACTAATGATGAACAATAACACTCTCTGTCTACAAGATGTTCGTCCACCAACTATTTACCAATCGGAAATTTCACTAAATGATGAATTGATGATTACAGCAATGAAAACAAACTACTATCAATGTTGCTGTTTCCGTGTGTTCCTTGCTTTGAATATTCTTCTTCGCACAAGCTCCAAGATGTGTGTTTGCGAAATTTTTTTACTTCTCAAAAAGTCAATTTTTACGTTTGCCTCCAAATTTTTCAAACAGTTTTTTGGATTTGTGGCGTTTAGTCAGATGAATATCTGGGGAATATAAAGTTGGGGTCAATAGTATTAGGAATTTGATAAAACAAGATATAACGAATATTGATATGAAATTGGAGAGGTGATCTTTGTGGTCAACTGATAGTATTTGTTTAAATCTGGTGAATTATTATGTCGTTTTTTTATACAATGGTCAGTGACGTGATTATCTGACCAGTTCAGTATTATGAAAGATTGACATGTGGAGTTTAAAAAAGTTCAAGGGACGGAAGCAGAAAATAGTCCTATTATTGGTAAGGCAAACCCATAGAATTTTAATTGTTGGAATCTTTTCAAACCATGATGGACAATGATGCTTCACTTCACCGAGCAAAAACCTGTTTCACTTGAAATACAACAAAGGATAATTGACAACAAAAAAATGGATTTTCAACCAGTACAACATTTAAGGATTGAAGTTTTACAGATTATTGAGCTTATCTGAGTTGTTTGACTATTTACTCATAATAATGAATGTTAAGTTTTGCATTTTTTTAAAGTTGTCTTGTGACAGATCTCTGTTATACAAAGCGAGCCTGTCATTATGTTGTGCAAAACCTCTGAAAAGCAACATCTCCTCAATGAAAAGCTCAAGATTGGAGATCAATGGGCTTCTCTCCATGGTGCAGTATTTTACAGATTGGTAAACTAGGTTGAATTTTTATTGGAACATGGAGCTGATTACAACATTAAGGATAGCAAGAATCGTTCTCCATTTACTTTAGCTTGTATTATTGTAGCAACATAATGTGAAAAGATTCTCAGAAAGTATGTTAGGGATGATAAGGAACATTTGGAGGAATGCCCCAGAAAAAAATCTGTTTG